AGTAATGACCTGGGAGTCGGGATCGGCAATAATGTAGAATAGATCAAATCAAGTTGATCCTACTAGAGCGAAAGGGGTAAGGGATATTCCTCGTCCATCGAGAGACGACCCATCGTGGGTGGCCCGGGGATTGGAAGCTAGAAACTTATGGATATGAAAGACGCAGTGTTTTGAAAAGACACTTATTGTGGCCATATATGGACAGCATGTGTCTTTTTTTCCTGCGAACTTTGAGCTGTGTTGGAGGCGATTTCCCCCAAAAAAAGTTCGCGAAAGTGGGAGTTTATGCAGGAGTGGATTCAGTGTTAAGCCGAATGTAAACAAAGAGACGGGCGTCAGACCGGATTATGGCCTTTGGACCTCGTGAAATTGGAACGGGTAACAAAAAAAAGGTAAATGAGCTAATTTAAGAGAACACGATAGAACGGAAGCCAGACAAAACAGTAACCATACGGACCCTATAGACCTACTGGACCCGGAAAATGAGCCTCTCGTGGTCTAAGACATGACATCTAGTCTCAGAAGATTTGAACCCAGCAAAGGCGACAACATCGTCACTCCATTCTTTCCGTACTAGTATTATGGAAGAAAATGTACTGCTATCAATCAAGGGTTACAAGGTTATTATCAAGTGAATATTCTCTCGCTGAGAGGGTCCAGAGCTGATTTCTTAGGGCACCTTCTGAGGAGAGGGGAGTAAGGAAGGAAGGAAGGAAGGAAAAGAGGGAAGAAGGAAAAAAAAGGAAGGAGGAGCGAGGGGTTCGCGGTTGACAGACATCATTAGACGGATTTCTACTACCCACACCATAAGATTCTGCAATTGCAGACATAAGCAAATGATAGACATTCACTGAATCTATGAAAATCCGCGAAAAAGTCCTGATAAAATCAATAAATAAAATTTTGTCAAACCCCGTTCTAGCCGGAAGGGACTGAGCTGTGTCCAAATGTCAAAAGGGCACGAAAACATGCGGATCTACGGCATACTTATTGGATAAGGCTTTTGTTCATTCACTATAAGTAAGTGAGAGGCAACATTCCCTATGTTGTTACAGTACTAATTATTCAGCGCATACTTGACCTGAGGAGGCGGGGCGATCTCTTAATTGCAGAATGATTATCTGCGCGACAGCGATGGTGAAGATAGCTGCACGTAAACAGGATCCGGACAGCAAAAAATAGTTTCTCTGGGGAAATGTCTCTAGAAAGTGATTAACTAATATATATAGTATCCAAAAGGTAGAGAACCAGTCATGATTGTGACGCTCAAGCATGAGCGGAAAGAAAAAGTCTGGCAGCACGCTTCATGAATCGTGTAAAAGAGACGTGCTCCGATAAACAGGCAGAATGCAAGCGATTGTGAGGATTAGTAAATAAACATAAAAAAATAGAATAAGAAAATATACCGCATGTTTTTCGTCACCCCAGTACTTGACCATAGCCATGATGGTGTAGACGCAGATGTGGCAAAATTTGCCCAGGCAGCACTATCATCTATCAAACGGACCGTTGTCTCCTTAAAGTCATCGCTCAGAACGCGGTACTTGTAAAGATGAAGGGCGCCAAATGTGGGATGGTGTCAGTGGAAGCAAGTGGGAAAAGTAATACTTACAGTTACAATCCTGAAGCGGAATGAACTGTTCGGATGATGATCATTGGGAAAGGTGAGAACTGGGATAGGAACTGTGATGATGAGGGGCGAAATAGGTGCACAATTGTGTGATGTCAAGAGATGACCCGTCGTCGTCGTCGTTGTTGTGTGTGCGGGGGTACGAGCGGATCGCCACCGCCGCCAGTCGTTGCTGACACCACCGCAGAACGCAACCCTGGCCGATATCGATTGATTTCCAGGGAGACCAGTGAGTCGGCGCGAGCGCGCGATGCGAACGTTGGGTGGCCCACCGCGCGTC